GGAAATCCTCTGATCTTCTCTTTCCTTCAAATTGCCTTGGCTATTCAGAGTATTTTATTTCTCCATCAAACTTTTGCCATAATTTTATCCATGTCCTTTACATATGTCATGGATATTTTAATAGGGGCTGCATTTAATCTGTATAATGTTTTGAGTAAGATTGTCATTTAGATGATCATTCAATTTTATAAGTAGGGGATGTGTTTCCGTTTCAGCCTGTCCTCTATTATTTCTGTTAGTGGTGATTTTTGTATATGTACTTGATTTCTTTGTGAGTCTGATTCCTATATATTTAATTTTCCAAAAGTATACTTTTGAATACATTTAAATTTTTTTTCTCTCTTTCATTTTACTGTTTGCATATATAAAAGCCATGGATTTCTTGTGATGATTTTGTAGCCTGTCACTTACTATACAACTCTTCTGGGATGTTTAGTATGAGTATTTAGTTTTTTGTCTTAGTGTCATGTCATGTGGAAATATTTAGAATTTGTCTTCTTATATGGATGTACTTAGTATCTCTGTCTTGAGAAATTGTTATGGCAAAGACTTCAGATCCCGTAGTGAATCATGATGGTGAGAGTGGGCAACACTGCCTTGCACCTGATCTTGGAACATTTTCAGTTTTTCTCACTAAGTGCATTGCATTCTGTGGGTTTATGGGAAATGGCTTTCACTATGTTCTGGAAAGTTAAACTTTCATTTTATTCAGAGGTTTTATTATGAATAGTTGTTGGATCTTGTCAAATTCTTTTGGGACATCTATTATATGATCATTTTATTTTAATTTTTCATTGAATTGATATGTATATTATACTGATTGATTTACATATATTAAACCATCCTTGCATTCCCCAGATGAACCCACCATTTCATGGTGTATTATGATCTTTTTGTTTGCAATTATCTTGTTGATGACTTTTGATTCTATATTCTCAGTGATACAGGTCTGTTGTTTTGTCATTTTTTCTGAATTTATATTCTGCTTTCTGTATTAATGTTTTCCTTGTAAAAAATTGTTTAATAGATTACTGTTCCTTCAGATTTTGAGAGAGCCTGTAAAGAATTGGGGTTAGGTTTTCTTAGAACAATTCAGACCATCTAGATGTGAGCTTTTGTTTGGGGGAGACTTTTGATTATCATTTATATGTTCTTGATAGTAATTAGTCTATTCAGTTGGTCTGTTTCCTCTTAATTCAATCTTGGAAGGCTTTCAGAGTCCAAAAATCTATCCTTTTCTTCTACGTTCTCCAGTTTCACAGCATAAAGATTTTTGAAGTAGTGCTTGCTAATCAATCTAATTTCTATGATATCTGTTATAATGTCTCCCCTTTGGTATAATCTCCAGGCAGCAAAGGAAGGCCCTGGTGGCTCTTCCCTTTGCCGCCCAGGTTCAGGGGGCCTCGGGCTGCTCCCCCAGCTGGGGAAGCCTGTGCCATGGGGCAGACAGAGGAGGAAAAGAGGGCCAAACCGGCTGATTGATCAGTTGCCATTTATTCCATTCTCCCCATGCACCTGTTCCAGTCTCTCTGAGCCCCACATTCTAGTCTCACACTGGCCCTCATTCTTATCTCCTTGTCTTCCTGCTCATCTCTCCACACTCCATCTCGCAGCCTGGGCTCTCTCTCTCCACATGCCTGCTCCTGTATTCTTCTACATTCTTCTACCTTTGTCTCCCTTGCTAATCTCTCTGCGCTCCTTCTTGCTTCCCTGCTTTCCTCTCTCTCTCTCATCTCTCTCCAATTCCCTCATCTCTCTTCTCCCAGCTATACCCAGTCCAGTAGTAAAATCAACATAATAAAGCCCTTCCTTTGCTCATGGGCAAAATACCAGTTAAGGTGTTTTTTCTCCTTTCCTCAGTTCAATAACTCAATTAACATCTTAATTCTATTTTTTAATGTTAGTTATTTTTGTATGGGCACAGTAAGAAATACACTGAGGCTTGTAGGGCGGCTCTCCTGGGAAAATCTTGCCACAGACTCAGACTACAGTGTTCAGGCCAGATTAATCTTTCCTAACAACTAGCAGGGTCCAAATCTAGTTATTACTTTTTGGATCATGATAGCGTTTGTCCATGACCAAGCTCCTTACTTATAGTTAGGCATTATGGCACTTTGACCAGACCCATTTCGATGCCAGGGTAGCATATAGCTCACTGCTTGCCCTGGCTCCATCCAGTCCCTCATCAGGACTCGTCAGATAGTATTAACTGTCTTCTTATGTCCATACAAAAAGGACATTGCTCTGAATTAACTATGCAAAGGACTTAAGGAGAAGAGAAAAGCAGTATTTACAAGTCAACCGAGCACAAAGAAAGAAGTTGCAAATAAATACAAAGGAATGGGAGCACTGTGATGGGAGTGACCCAATAAACCTAAGCTCCCTGCAGCAAGGCAGAAAGGACAAACCAATGTTATCCTACACCTTTTCACTTTCTAATTTAAAATACTAAGGTATGATCTTTCTTTGGGAATCTTGCCAATGGTCTGTCTGCGTTTATTTTTTCAAAGTATAATCTCTTATTTTTGTTATCTTTTGAATAACATTTTTGTTTCATTTTATTTACTCCTGCACTGTCTTATTATTTCCTAATTTCTGCTTGCTTTATGATTTTTTCTTCGTCTTTATTTAGGTGCTTAAGCTTGCAAATAGGTTGGCCTTCTCTTGCTTCCTAATGAACTCTTGTATTACTAAAAACTTTCCTCTCAATACTTCTACTGTGTACCAAATGTTCTGGTAGTTCATATCTTCATTCTTTTATATATTTCCAGGAATATTTTGATTGCATATATGATTTCATCTTTGACTCACTAGTTGTTCAGCAGTGAGTTGCTTTATTTTAAAGTGTTTGAATTTTTTACCTCATAGCACAGCAGGTAGGGCATTTGCCTTGAAAGTGGCCAAACCGGCCGACCTGGGTTCGATTCCTCCACCCCTCTTGGAAAGCCTGTTAAGCTAATGAGAGTATCTCACCCGCAAGGCAAAGCCTGACAAGCTACCCGTGACATATTCGACATGCCAAAAACAGTAATAGGTCTCACAATTTGTTGTGAAATGTTACTGGTGCCTGCTTGAGCAAATCGATGAATAACGGGAGGACAGTGCTTCAGTGCTGCTTGTGATAAATTTCAGAAAAGTTAACACTTTCCATCTTGATTTTTGTAAGATATGCATTGTATTCCAGCCTTTTCAGGGAAGAGATGGAAGTTGCACACCTCTCTTATTCCTGACTCTGCGGTCAAGGATCACTGGTGGGGCTCAGGGAACAATGTGGGTGCCAGGGCTCAAAGCTGGGTTAGCCAAGTCAAGGCATTTGCCTTACTCCTGTACTATCTCTCTGTTTCCCACCCAGCATGTGTTGTATTCTGGAGTATGCCACATGTGCACTGTTGAAAATTTATATTCAACATTTGGGGAATCTAGTCCTAGATATGTCTGATAAGCCCATGTTTTCCATTTCAACCTTCAAAGTCAGTGTTTCCTTGTTGAATTTTAGACTAGATGATGTATTCACAGGTGATAAAACTATGTTGAACTCTCCAAAAACTACTTTATTGATGTTCATGACTTCTTCTAGGTCTGCTAGTTGTTAAATAATTGTCTGTCATGAAACACATATGTATTTAGGAGCTAAGATTAATTTAATATAACATTATGTGGTTGGGAGCTGCCACTTCAGCTTATGGATTTACTAAAAGAGTCCTACAAGTGTTTCATGTAATACTTGAAGGAGGAAAACTCAAAATATTATCCTTCCTTTCCAGCATTGGACAGAGATCGCTTAATTGACATTGTTTTTCTATGGTCCTCTGTTGCTCTAAGGGCTTGGGGACAAATGTCAGGAGTGTGTCTATATTGCAATTTGATTGACTCTAATATGGTATCACTGTAAGGCTGATTAAATTAAAAATCATGCTAGGATAAAATGGGTACTCAATAGAAACATATCTTTCTGGTTGTGCTTGGGAGACATCATGTTGTGCCAAACTGAACAGGGCCAGCAGCAGGCAATGCCCCTGTGGTAACATTCCTCACTGATAATCTCCAGGCACAGACTTAAGTGGCTCTGGGGGCCTCCGAGCACTGCTGGGGCCCCTAGAGCCGTCCCAGTTCCTGAGTCCTATGCAGCACTCACTGCGGGAGCACCGGGAGCACTGGGAGCACCGAGAGCACCGGGGAGCCGCCAGGGGGTCTGCACTGCCTACTCCCCAAATAAATACAGAAGAGATGTGCAAGGGAAAGATATTCCAGAGGAGAAACGTTTCTGTTTATGGAATAGTGTCTGACATTAAATAAATACCTATCAAATAGCAAATGTTGAAACAGCAGTGTAGGCCAGAGATATAATGCAAGGTTGAATACACTTGCATTGCATTCACCCACATGGGTTTGTTCTCCAGCATTTCAGATGGTCCACCAGGAGCTGCCAGCTCCTGAGCACAGAGCCAGAAACAAGTCTGGAGTGCTGCCAGTTGTAGACCCAAAAGAAATTAAAAGAGAAACTATCAAGCAAAAGTATTATTCTGCACATCCAAAAATAGATAATGGGATACTTTCTGATATAAAGCTCAATGGTGAACCTTTCATTGTTTTTGATATGACAAATAAGTAAAATTTATTTATATTAAGAAAGTTATACATATTCCAGTGTTTATTATTGACAATATTCACGTGTTAGGAACAATCTTTCTAGAAAGACAGCCATTTCTCTTTCTGTCACCACTAGGCTCAGAACTTGATATAGTGTTTAAAATATGATGCACATTTGATAAAAAAGTTGAGTTAATTTCTCATCAAATGAATACTTGATAATTAAATGATGTATAAAATATGAAATGTAAGAGTAGAATGGTACTTTAGGTTTTATCCTTGATTTTTATTGTATAACTTTCAAAAATAGAAAATATTAACCCTGTAAACTTAAACATAATAATCAGGAAATTCAAGCAACTTCAAATTAGTAGTGGAACAAATATTAAACAGGAAGGTGTTCTGTGCAGATCATCTGTAGTCGCCTGGAAGAGTACAACAGCCAGCAGGTTTTATGTGATGGGACCCCTGAAGGACCCTTACTGCGCAACCCCGGAAACCACGACAGAGTCCGGACCCCAAGACTGCCTTCCTCTGAAGATGTGGAACTTTGCCTGAGTATGACCCAGTATGAGTCTGGCTCCATGGATAAAGCTGCCAACTTCAGCTTTAGAAATACACTGGAAGGTAATTTTCTTTTTGCTCTTTTTCCTCTATTTTTTCTTTTTTTTTTTTCTTTCTAGATTCATGTTTACAATCTCCTATCCAAAGCCTAGGATATAGAAGTGTCTAAATATTCATAATTTTCTGAGTTGATAAGAATGTGTAACCTAGGTCTGACAACCTCTGGCCCCACCCCACAGCCTCCCCCACCCCCAGCAAAGGTAAGATCAGAGAGTGTTGAGTAGGGGCCTCTGCCTGACCTTCCACTTCTACCTCTGCTGGCAATTCAGAGACACTTCTCTTTCTCTCCTGGATCAGCGGTGACCTAGTGAAGACGACCCAGAGTATGTTAGTAATGAAGCCACTCTCTGCAGCATTAATGAGGGTTGTGGGGAAGCAGTCATTCAACTTCTTCCCTTGCATAGCCAGGCCTTCGGACGGTCTGGAACAGGAAGCTCCTCCTATAGCTAGGCTCTGTCTTCACGGATGGGGTAACTTGGCTTCCTCTTCCTTTGGGAAGCAAGCAATAGAAATCCAGTTAGAACAAGTAATCCAGTCTCATAAAATCCAAAGCATGAGGGATTCAAGCAAAAATCAATAATAGCTTATACTTGAGGTGGGGGAAAGGCAGTCAGTAGATAGTAACATTCAATGCAGATGGCAGAGATGTTCGAATTACCCGACTTCCACAGGCGCTTCCCAGTCTAGGGAATACAGCTCCAGGCCAGACAGGAGGATGTGCTGCTCGGGCTTTGCAGGGTCCAAAGCGCCTGACTCTTTGTGATGCCCTATGGGCCTCCGGGCTCCTACCCAGCGTCGCTCTCCAGGACCCGGACCCAGGCATTCGAGGCTTGAGTCTAACCAGTGAACAAAACTCACGAACCCAGAGCTGACAAAAACTTCAAAGCACATCTTATGAACCAGTTTGAAAGAAGTTTACAGTTGAAACAAGTGAAACAAGCATTTGTTTCAGTCACTGAAGCAAATGGAAACAAAGGTTCTACAAGCATTGAAATATTTTTAAAGTTTTATAAAGTATACTCATAAAAGGAAAAAGGTACAAACTTTAGAGTACCAAAACTGTTAGTCTCAACCATAGGATACAGAGGAGAAACAGGGTTCAGTGAAGAGGAACATAAACAATAGAAATGATCAACTCTGAAAAAGAGAGAAAATAGACAGGAAAAACAATGGGCAAAGGCGCAGAGATTTGTGAAACTGTGAGAGATGCTGTTATGCTCCCAGAATCTTGAGGGACAAGAAGATTCTGAGAGAATAATTAACTAAATGGGAACTAGAAATGTCTCCAATCTATCAATAGATATAAACAAGAATAATTAGGGACCTATGTGAAGCTGAAATTAGTGAAGCCCAATAAAATCAACACAAAATATCATTGCTGAATTTCAGTAAACTGGCCATGAAAAAATTGTGTTTAGTAACTAAGCAACATTTTACCTATTTTCTTATTTTAATTTATATAATTAAAATTGTAATTTAATTTATATAATTATAATTAAAACTGGAGCGATAGCACAGCAGGTAAGGTGTTTGCCTTGCACGCCGCCGACCCTGGTGGCCTAGGTTTGATTCTTCCACCCACTCTCAGAGAGCCCAGCAAGCTACCGAGAGTATCTCACCTGCACGGCAAACCTGGCAAGCTACCCGTGGTGTATTTGATATGCTAAACACAGTAACAACAAGTCTCAGGACGGAGACGTTACTGGGCCCGCTGGAGCAAATCAGTGAACAATGGGAGGACAGTTCTACCTTCCAATGTATATAAACAGAATTCAATGTTTTGTATGAATGTCATATTTTACTGAGTAATGAATTTAAATTCATAGTTTTTTAAAAAACTAATAAATAGAGCAACAAAACTTTTAAAGAGGAAATTATATCTAGTCAGCTCAATGGTTAAGAATTTTTGTTCCCACTTCTTAAAATCTTGCAGTTCAGTCAAACTTATGACTAAGTAATATAAGCGTTGAGTCAGATATTAAGTCTAAAAAATTCATTGAAATAATCTGATTTTTAAAAAGAGATATCTTTGTAGAATAGGATAGTCAAGACACTTGATCATTAGACCAAAAAAAGAGCTTCTAGGAAGAAGTATATAGATATACCTAGGCATTTCAAAACATTTCTGCTCAGAAACAATGGCAAATAATGCATTTCTGTCCCTTACCACTTCCATTTAAACAAATAAACAAAAATACATAATTATGAAATATCGAAAGTTCTTCTGAGATGAGCTAAAAATATTTCCAAATAATTGAATTACAAAACCTACTCACTTCTATCGGGCTGGAGCGATAGCACAGAGGGTAGGGAGTTTGCCTTGCAAGCGGCCAACATGGCCGACCTGAGTTCGATTCCTCCGCCCCTCGGAGAGCCCAGGAAGCTAACGAGAGTATCTCACCTGCACGGCAGAGCCTGGCAAGCTCCCCGTGCCATATTTGATATGCCAGACACAGTAACAATTGTCACAATGGAGACATTACTGGGTCCACTCGAGTAAATCGATGGACAACGGAAGGACAGTGACAGTGACCCACTTTTATTACTTCATTTATTTTTAAAAATACTCTTCCATTTTTCTTCACTTTGTGTATTTCAGGAAAATTGCTTTGAAAGTATGAGATAAAATTAAAATGTTACATCTATACATAACGATGGTTAATTAAAATTTTCATATTTTTGGAACCAATAAACTGAATACCAAAGGCAATGATTATTTATTTTTGTTGGTTACACCGCACAGCAAAGCCTGGCAAGCTATCCTTGCCTATTCAATATGACAAACAGAGCAACAAGTCTCACAATGGAGATGTTACTGGGCCCGCTCAAGCAAATCGATGAACAATGGGAGGACTGTGCTACAGTGCTACAGTGTTGGTTACACATATTTAGGGTGTCAAAGTGATAAAATACTTATTTAGATCCACACTACAGTGTAAATTTTTAGTGAAGCATTAACCATGTTATCCATGGTAGAATGTATGAAATAAGATTATCTCTCCAATGCCATGAATTGGTTTAATTCCATTTCCTTTGAGGTAAAAAACAAAACAAAACAATACATCAAATTTTAAAACAAATCAGGGACCAGAAAATTTTGGTATAATGGATAAGGTGCTTGCTTTTCAAGCAATGAGCCAGGTCCAGTCCGAGGGACTGCATATATATTGTGGGCTGAACCCTACCAAAAGGGACCCCTGAAGCACAGACTCAGGAAGAAGCCCTGAGCACAGGTTTGGCATCGACTCCCCTGAGTAAAAATTTAAAATGAAAACAAAATAATTTCACACACTGAAAAATCTAGAGAAACTATCTAAAATTTGGTGTATTGTCTGTAAGAGGAAAATTATAAAATGCAATGTAAAATAAAATAAATTATATGCCAGAGGTTTATGTAACTTTACAAATACAACTTAAAAATTAATATCTAACATTTGTTGAGGTACTAAGAAATTTAGTCATTTTCATAAATAATTTATCTGCCTTTTATCAACACTGACCTAATTAATAAGTTCTATTTATTAACTCCACTTTGCATGTAATAATATATCAGAAAGACATAGTTTTATTGAAATATAGGACGCAGGTATGAGACCTTGGATTCAAAATTATTTCTGAATTATCATAATCTTATTAAACACTGTTCTTAAATGTGGTAAAGTATTCTATCATCCTTGAGAAAACATCATTTGAATTTAAAACACAAGAGTGTGGATGAACAGTAACTGACCCAGCACACCCCTTTCATTAATAAAATAGAGATAACATTTCTTTACTACTTCTAGGTATCAAATAAATATTTTCTTAACTGTGAGATACCTTTGTTATCTCACAGTTAACGAAAGTCTTTTTTAGAATTTATGTAAAAATTAAAATCATGTTATCTTTTATTAGTAGTTACCAAATTATATATCTTTTTTCATATACTCTCTCAGAATCTTGTAACAGTAACATTACAGAAAATCTTGAAAGTTTATGACCTTGAATTTTTAAGGTGAGTAGTTCAGTAAGTATAAAATGACATGTAAATAAAACTATAAAATAAAGCAATTGACAAAATGATCAATACTACAGACATATGTTGATTATGGTAGGTACCCTGGATGAAAAGCATTGCTTTCTTGTACAACAAAAGTACCTATGGTTCTAATTATACCAATAGTCTTTCTTTTTTCCTTTTTTTTTTTTTTGCTTTTTGGGTCACATCATGCAATGCACAGTGATTACTCCTGGCTCTACACTCAGGAGTTACCCCTGGTGGTGCTCAGGGGACCATATGGGATGCTGGGAATCGAACCTGGGTTGGCCGCATACAAGGAAAATGCCCTACCCGCTGTGCTATTGCTCTAGCCCCTATAACAATAGACTTCAGACAATTTCTTTGTGAAGATATTTGTGAATTAGTTTTTTCTCCTTTTGTTAAAGTTCACTTTAAAGTACTATATAAAAGAAAACTTAGATAATGTATCTTTTAAAACATAGATGACTATTTTGCATATTGAAACAATGAAGATCTAGAAAATCCAGAATTTGAGAGCAAAACTCGCCATCCTCCATCCAAACTGCCATCATTCGATAATAATTCTGATACTTCCATACTAATTATATCTCAAAAGGGAAATTATTGAATGCCCATTTCTTTTCTATTTTTTAATCTAATAACCATGCGATACTCAGTTGCAATGTTGTTCCTGATTGAGTTCCAGTCATACAATATTCCGACACCCATCCCTCCATCAGTCACATTTCCTGCCACTGATGTCCCTGTTTTGCTTCCCATCCACCCCAACCCCACCCCATCCCTGTGATCTGCCAAGGCTGATACTTTCCTTCTCTCTCTCTTATTTCCTTTCAGGCATTGTGGTGTGCAGTTACTGAAAGTATATCATGCATATCTCTTTATCTCCTTTCAGCACTCAGTTTTTGTCCAGTGTTCATTTCCAATGATCACTATTATAGCGGTTCCTTCTCTATTCTAATTTCTCTTCCCATCCCACTTTGTG